ATGTACATATAGAAATACATATATTTCCATGGTTTCACAGAAATAGGTAGCAATGTCAGGCCTGAGCCAAACTTAACATCCATATGTATTATATGAGTATTATGGACTAGATGTTTGTATTCCATCCCTCCCTGCCACCCAAGTGCATATGTTGAAACCTAATCCCTAAGGTGATGGTATTAGCAGGTGGGGCTTTGGGAGGTGAGTAGGTCATGAGGGTGGGGCCTTGGTAAATGGGATTAGTGCCCTTATGAGAGGTCCCTCGCCCCTTCCACCATGAGGACAGAGAGAAGACAGCCGTCTAGCCTGAAAGAGGCTCTCACCAGGACCAGACCGAGCTGGCACCCTGGTCCTGCACTTCTGGCCTCCAGAACTGTGAGAAATAAACTCATGTTGTTTAAGCTGCCAGCACTTTGTTATGGCTGCAAAATAATACAGGAAGGAATGTGGGGAAGGAGGGTGGGTTAGGTGTCACTCAACCAACCGTCAGAAGGAGGAGTGGGGCCAGCTTCAGGAACAGCTGGATCCAGGACACGTCATTTCTCCAGCTCCCTTCCCCCACCTTGCTTTCTTGCTCTGCGTTGGCCCCATTCTCTTGGGCATCTCCCGTGGGAGGGGCACACGGCCTGCGGCTCCGGGGCATAGCTTATAGCTCAAGATCCAAAAGGAAGTGAGAGCTGGCCTTCTGCTCACAGCTCGGAAAGGTCCAGACCCCTCCCATCTCAGTGCCTGTTCCTGGGGCCATCCCAGGGCCAGGGGCTGCGGGCTGCGATTGGTCCAGGCAGGGTCATGTGACCTCCCTGAAGGCGAGGGTGGGGTGGAGTAGAGGCAATAAGATCAGTATGATCCTCAGACCTCCACCCCAAGAATTACGGGAAGTGGGGGCGCAGCTGTGCCCCAAGGCCACAGAAGCAGGGAAGGCTCTCTGGCAGAGATCCCGAGGCCCAGACAGAGAAAGGCCACCCAGCCTGTCTGTGGCTGAGCCCGACGTCAGCCCTGCCTGGCCTCCAGCTGTCGACTCTCGGGCCATCAAGGTGAGAAGATTAAGGTGGCTGTCACCTCAGCTGCTCTCAGGCTCCACCTGGAATTTGCTGTGAGGCCTTGGGCAAGTGTCGGCAACTTCCTGCCTGTCTTCTGGTTTTTTCTTTTAATGAAATGCGTGTGTTGCTGGGGGTGTGGTGGGGGATTAGCTGGTATAAGTACTGGCTCAACCAGACCCTTCCAGTCCCTAAATGATCACCTTGAGTCGGGAGCTCAAGGAGCTGTCTTCCTCTTTAAGCTTGTAATTTACAGAGCGATTTTCTGCCAGGTGAAGGGGGCGGGTCCAGCTTGCAATAAAGCCACCTCAACAACGAGGACAGGACAAGGTCCCTCTGCCCCGGAACATCTGGCTTTAGGAATTGTTGGCGTAAACAGCTGGGCGCGGCCGCTGGCCTTGGGCCTGGCTCTGCACAGAACCCTCTGCCGCCCTCAGATCCCGGCTCCCACTCACTGGCCCAGAACACTGGGAATCTATGTCACAGCTCTGCGCCTCGGTTTCCCCATTTGTCCGATGAGAAAAACAATACCTACCTGAAAGAGTTGCTGGGGGATTAAATGGGCAAAAACATGCGCCACTGTGATTCGCAAAGTGGGTGGTGTTGCCCCCTAGGGGACATTTGGCAATGTTGAGGCTGCCGTGGCTGGACCGGGAGTGGTATGGCGTCTCGTGACTACAGGTCAGGGAGTCCACTAAGCATCCTGCAATGCTCAGGACAGCTGTGTCCCCCAGCAAAGCCTGCCCAGAATGTCAGGGGTGCCTGGGGTTGAGGACCCACCACGTGGCAGTGTCCCGTTTCTATCCGCTGTTACCAGACCTGAGCTCTGGGACAGATGCCCCCAGGCTCTCAGTTCTGTTTCTGGTGCTTCCGCGAGCTGCTGAGTCTGTGGACTCAAGTCTCCTTCCCTCCCTGAATATCAGGGGTCTGGCTGCCCTGCCCCACCTGCTAGGAGGGGAAGCGTGTGTCAGGAAAGAGGAAAGCCCTCTGGCCACACTAAAGGATCCCACGCTGGCCCTGCCCGGGTGGCTCAGCTGGTTGGGCACTGTCCTGGGCATGGGAAGGTCGCCGGTTCCGTTCCCGGTCAGGGCACATGCCCAGGTTGTGGGCTCAGTTTCCAGTAGGGGGCAGCTAGTTGATGTTTCTCTCTCCCTCTCCCGTTCTCTCTCTCTCTCTCTCTCTCTCAAATCAATAAATATTAACTAAAAAAATCCCACACTGTCGGGTAACAGCCATAGGATACTGTTCTCTCGCTAGTGCAAACATTGTCCCCTCAGGCTGTGCTGCCTGGTGCTGACCCCGCCCCTGGTCCCAGCCTGAGGTTGTGTCTGTGGATCATTTTGCCAGCAGATGGGGACAGCCTGTCTGGGAATGAACCTGATAGAGAGGGAAGCAAAGCCAAGAGATAGGGCGATGAAGAACCTGAGACTATCATCCGGCTCTGACTCCAGCCTTGTCCAGACCAGGCGTCGTCCTGAGCTGTTCTCTGCACAAGCCAGGAAATCCCTTCTTTCCTTAAACCCGTTTTTGTCACTTGTCACTGGCTAATACAGGTATCCCACGTGCCCTGTTCTGGAATCTTTTTTTTCTTTTTTCAGTTGGGACATTTTTCTAGCAGGAGAGAGCACACCTGAACTCCATTTCTGAGCGATGCACCGGGGAAGGCGAGGCCTAGCCTGAAGGTGGGGGGAGGGTGGGATCGCCAACATTGCAGTGGGGGGGTGTGTGGGGAGGAGGAACCGGCTGGGATTGGAGGCAGATGACTGTGTTCGGGTCTGTCTTAGCTTTACAGAGTTGGCAGGCCCCTCAGCCTTTCCAGCCTCAGTTTCTCCATCTGTGCAATGGATTAATAGCCTCCTTCTCGAAGAGGCTGTTGGGAAAATACGAGAGAACACACAGAGAGCAAGGCCACCTGTGGGTAAAGCTGTGCAGTAGTATTTATTGTTACAGTGTTACAGTCGCTCAGTTCCGGGAACATGGGCTTTATTCAGGGGCAGCTCGTTTCCTTGGCGGCCCCTCCCCCGCCCCACGTGGGGGGCTCGGGAAGTCCTCGCCAGCCAGCCGCTGGCAATAATGTTCGGTTTGGACGGCGCTGCTTCCCACAGGGTGTTTTCTCCTTGCCACTCCACTGCCAGGAGCCTGTTGGAGCCTTGAAGGGCAGCGTGGAGGTGATGGGGCCCCAGAGACACAGGTTTTGATGGGCGGGGAGAGCTGGGCTTGGGGATGGAGGGGTCCGGAGCCCCTGCAGTGAGCACTGAGGTCTGCTCTTGCCCAGTCACCCCACACTGCCCACCCCGCCCTGGTCAGTGAGTTCAGGGTTTGGGGGCAATTTTCCAAGGCCCCTCCACGTTGGCTGTGTAAAACCCCTGTCCCTGGACATCATCTGGTCAGGGTCTCATGTGGCCTCTCCCTGTCCCCTGCAGCCTGGGTTCCGCTGGCTGCGATGCTCACAGCAGCCAAGGACAAAGGGTCTCTCAGAGGCGTCTGGGGTCAGAAAACTGAGTCTGCCAAGCAGGTGTCTCCCGAGGGCCCTGGCCTCCAGCCTCCGAGAGGAATGTGGGACACCTCTGCCTACCCTGGCCCTCCCGACCTCTGGCACCAAGTGCCCCTTTGCAAGGGGCCAGCGTCGGCAGGCACGGGGACACCACCTTTTGGAGACATGCACTGTCTTGTTCCCAGGCCCAGGTGCCAGGTTGCCCTTTAAGGACCAAAACCAGCCCTGGCCAGTTTTGCTAAATGGTGAGAGTGTCGGCCTGTGGACTGAAGGGTCCCCTCTGAAAAGCAATGGAAAAAAATATCCTCAGGTGAAGATTAAAAAAAAAAAAAGACCAAACTCAGGCTGTTTGGACAGGACGCGGCAGGTCAGTGCTCTGCAGGTGGCTGCCCTGCCAGCCTTTGTCAACCAGCTACCGGATCTTCCTGCCAAGTCTCTCTGTGCCCCCTCCTTGCCCCTCTGAAGCAGAGGCGATTTAGGGTTTTTCCAGCAGCAGACAAAGCCCACCTGATGTGAGTCTGTGTGGAGTTTGTTTATCAGCCAACCTGTTCTCATGCTGAAAAGCCAGCTCCCAGCGCTCACCTGGCTGCCCGGGGTTTGAGCATCAAGCGTCACATCNCCAGCAGCAGACAAAGCCCACCTGATGTGAGTCTGTGTGGAGTTTGTTTAACCTGTTCTCATGCTGAAAAGCCAGCTCCCAGCACTCATCTGGCTGCCCGGGGTTTGAGCATCAAGCGTCACATGGGGAAGAGCGAATGTGTGGTCGGGGCATCTTGGGACCAAAAGGTGTGTTTGAGGCTGCCCACGTTGCCCCCGGCCTTCCAGCCTAATGCCATCCCTACCAGTGACCCCCAACTGTCTGCTTGCCCATCCTGTCCCTAGAGGGAGCGAGTCGGGGAGCAAGGCGAGCTTCATTTAGGACAAGCCTAAGTAACCAGGTCAGCATTCCGTCCCCATGCCATCCCCGCTCGCCCTGCGGGAATAACTGCCCTCCTGGAGGCAGGTCCTGCGGTGCCCAGCCACCGAGGCTGGATGCTGGCTCAGGAGTGACCTGTGGCACCAGCTCGGCTGGACGTCTTGCTCTCCTACCGGAGTTGAGGGCTCTGCAGCCTCAGGCCCGCGTGTGGTTTAATGTCATAGAGATTCTGGGGCTTTGGAAGGTCAGCGAAGCCGGGGCAGGTACCAGAGCTTCACCCCGCGGGCCCTGGAATCAGGAATGTGTCCCTAGGAGGCCGAACATTCAGACAAAAGGGGACGTCTACCTGTCACCCACTGGGCATCTGGTCCCGGGGTGAGAGAGGCTGGGCTTGTGGTAGGTTAGAGAGGACGCTGTGCCTGGCACTGCGAGGAATCCTCCGGTTCCTCGGGGCTCGGTTTCTGCGTCTCCAGCCCGGGGAAGCGATTCACGGGGTCGAGGAACTCGGAGGCTGAGGAGCTGCGAGTGNAGGAGCTCGGAGGCTGAGGAGCTGCCAGTATGGGAAATTCAAGCCTCTCTCCTGGGCTCTGGGTGCAGGTGGCTCCCGTAGGAGCGGAGCGCCGCCTGCTGTCTTCCCCGCGTCATTGCTCAGCCCGCGGCCCCGGCCCGCGAGCCCCGTGGCCCCGGTGGCTGGAGTCGGCCTGGTTCCCCAGGGTGCGCACCGGGCGCTCTCCGCTTGGTCAGGCCCTGCCAGGGCTCCGAGAATGGAAACATTCAGAAACATTCATCTCTGATCCTTTTATACATTGTTTCAAACGCACAGAGCGAGGGCGGAGCAGGCCCGTGGCTCCGTGTTGTAACTGGAAGTTGACAGGCTCTCCCAGGACGTCCCACCTGTCCCCTGAGCGGTTACAAAGTGTGTTACAGGCATTAGCAAGTGTTAATCCTCACAGCATCCCTGGGAGGGGGCCAGGAGTATTGCGGACGAAGGTGCCCAGGCACAGAGAGGTGAGGCCACCGGGGAGGAGCCACACAGCAAACAGCGGCAGCGGTGGGCAGCGGGCCGCGGCTCTCCCCGCCACCTCGACGGCTCGGCTCTGTGACAGTCATCCCAGGACACGGGATGAGCCACCCCCGCGTCAGGCGCTAGAGACATCACGGTGAAGGTTTGCTGCGTTAACGATAAGCATTTCTCTGCCCCGGTCTCAGGCCCGCGGCCACATTTGGTGCAGTTGTCACGGACCCGGCTCCATCATCTCTGATCCTGCTGTCACCGGGCCCTTCGCCCCGACGCCAGGGTGTCTGCGTGTCCTGGGGCGGTCGCCGCTGAGCCCACCCTGCATGGCTCACTCATTCACCTGCTCCCGCCCCGTGGAGCTGCTCCTGCGAGAACGAGCCAATAGCTCTCGGACGTGTCCACCCCGCGTGACACGGGGCTCCCGGGGAAGGGGGAAAACCCCCCATTTTCTCTCTCCTGGGGGAGACGCGGCGACCCAAAGGGGAACCCGAGTTCTCAGTCATGGGCCGACCGCGGTCACGGCTGGGCTCTGCGTGTCGGCCTGGGGTCCCACCTGCTCCTCCTGGATGTGGCATCACGGGCCTCTTTCCACCTTGGCAGCCAGTTCAAGGCCCCAGGACAACGGCTGACAGTTATGCTGAGGTGGAGCCTGGATTATGGAGGGGCTGGGCACGGTGACAGACAGGTCCTCGGGGCCGGCCCCCTGCCCCTGAGCAGGAAGGCCACGGGAGTTTCCCGGGACCCACGGCGCATCCTCAGCCCGCGGTCACGATGCACAGTGGCAGTGATGCCAGCTGGCTGGTCGTCTTCCAGGTGAGGCCCTGTGCTGGGTCTGGGGAGCTTCAATCCCTCACACGTTGGTGACCTCCAGGCCGCCGTAGCCTTCCAGGCGGCACTGCTCGGGCCTGCCCTGGAGGTCGTCGTCCCCGCAGTCTTCGTTCCGAAGGGAGCCGTAGTCGTCGTGGGAATCGGGGTCCCTGCTGCCGAAGCTCCTTCCTATCTTCCCCAGGGGCAGCTGAGAAGAGAGGGGCGAGGCCAAAGGACAGGCGGAAACAAAGGAATTGAACTTTCGGGTCTGGGAAATGGGAGGGCTCCGGTTCTAACTGCTGTGTGACCTGGGGTAACTTGCCTACCCTCTCTGTGCTTTCCCCATTAGTAATAATACTCCACTGCTCAGGGAGACTGAGAGGCTTTTGTGAGTGAACGTTAGGAGAGAGTCGTGTTCCTAACTGGAAGGAGCCATGCACCCGTGAGGACAGATACAGTCTCGGGTTATCCGCACATCTCCCGTCTCCCGCCTCGGTCGGAGGACAGCTGAGGGCAGGTGTAGCGGAGGAGACTGGGCACGCACGTGAGGCCTGACCGCACCCCCGCGCCCAGGGGCAATGGGTCTCAGGCTCACAAACCGGGGCTCCGATCCTGCTCTGACGCTTCCCAGCTGTGTGACCTCAGACCAGGCGCTAGCCCTCTCTGAGCCTGTGTCCTCAGCTACACAATGGGAATAATAATTCCTATTTTTTTCATCATTTCCCCCCTAAAGGGAGCACTTTAGGCATTTTTCCCCCTCATCACATTCCAGCCGTGAAACTATACCACAGGTGTACGGTGCTAGTTCTGTAAAAGGAGCGAGGTTTCTTCCGCCTTCTCCAAGCAACTCTCGCCCCTTTGGGGTGTCACCCTTAAGGAGAACAGCCTAGGAGGAAGGGGGCAACCTGTTCACGCTTCTGCCCCGGCTTAGGCCGGTGCCTGGAACACTGTCAGCGCTCAGGTGTTCGCTGGGAGACTGGAAGAGTTTGGGGGTCGCCCCTTCTGCCACCTGTGTGAGTTTGGGGGTCGCCCTTTCTGCCACCTGTGTCTCCAACTTCTGCTGCGGACTCTGCCGTCTGAGCCTGTGATCTGCCCCAAACTACATGTTTTCTTGCACCGAGGCTCCTCCCCTGCTCCTGGCCAGGCCATGGGAGCTCAGCCTTTGAGTCAGCAGTTCCCAGAGGCCAGGGGGTTGGGGAACCCTCCGGGCACCTTGCATGCAGGGATCCCCCTCACGCCAGGGGCCCTTTGCTCCAGGTGGGTCCCAGAATCTGCATGTCCATTAAGCCACCACCCAGGTGACTGAGGCAGGAGGCTGAGACCTGCACTTTGGGCTCCTCTGACCCTTGTAGGGCTTCGGCACCACACAGGTCCCCCGGAGGCGACCTCTCCTAGCTGCACCTGTGACCGGGCCCCACCGCCCCCTCCATAGGCCCCCATGCAGGAGCTGGGAAAGGGCCACATGGGCCTAGGTGACAAAAAGGCTCCCCCCC